CTTGTTAGCTGATGGGAGCAGAGGAGGGGGGACACGTCGGCGAGATGGGTGACTTACATGGTGACCTGGCGCGTCCGGGGCGACGCAAGCTCAGCGAGACTGGTCGATGGCGAGGCCGATCATGCGGTCGACTGGGTGTCTCCCGTGCTTGCAAAGACGGTGCAGTCGTGCAGGCGTGGTGTCTTCTCCCCCCTTCTTGATCCTGTTCCTGCGGCGGAGGTGTAATTGTCGTCGTGGAGGGTGCCACGACGGAAGTCCGAGTGCACGTTATACAGTCAAGTAACGGCCGTCGGGCGGGTTTACTAAGCGAGTCTGGCTGGCTGCACCGACGGCTCTACGGATCAGAGCAGAGCAGGGCAGAGACTGGCGAGTTGCAATCTGGCTGGTCCGAGGAGGGGCAGCAGCAGTAGCAGTAGCTGTACAGTATGGCCAGCTGGCCACCAGACTCGACCAATTCGACCAAGCCAGTCCAGTCCAGCTTCAATCTCTGTCCCGTTGGCGCTTCTAGTGGTGTCGCTGCGCTTCCCTGCTGATCTCCGCCTCGCACACTTATTTCCACCCCTCTGATGAACCGCATATTCGGTCGGCTGGCCTAATGGTAAGGCTTCCGTTTCCGGTTACTGGTTGACTAGACTACGGAAGATTGCAGGTTCGAGTCCTGCGTCGATCGCTTTTTTTACTCTACACCTCTACACTCGCCGATCGCATGACGGCTCAGGGGGCGCTCGCAAGTTCAGGGGCGTCAAGGTGCGTGCGTGTCCTGCTCTGCTGCCGTTGTCGGTCCTGTCAGTCCTGTCAGTCCTGCCCGTCCTTGTCGCTATCAGCCACGGCCGTGATGTGATGTGACCGTGACTGCAACGCCAGCACCGCCGCGATGCCACTGATGATCCCGTCAACGAGCATCGGCATCAACATCAAGCAAGAAAGAGAGGGGTTGGGCCTAGGCTTCTGGGTGTCTGGTCCACCACTCCTCCCCCGTCGCACCGTCGCACCGTCGCACCCCACTCACTCCCCACCGTCAGCCGAGGCACCGGGCGGCCGGTACTTCGCTCGGCAGCAGCGCGTCTTCGGTCTTCGGTGCTCGGTGCTCGGTCTACGGAGCGCGGTGCGTGGTGCGTGTGCCCCACCTCCACCGGCAGCGGGACTGGAAGTAGATGCGACGCGATGCGGAGAGGCAGAGTCGAGCTGGTGGCTATAGACACGAACTGTACAGTACTGTGCATGCAGGACTTGGGCTGCCCTGCCCGGCGAGTGAGTGCAGCGGGTAGCACGCAGCTGTTGCTGAGCGGGCCGGCTGCTCCCCGCATCGCTTGCCGGCCATCTACTACTCCTCCTCCCCCCCCCGTGTCTCGTCTCGTGGGACGGCAGAGCCCAGCAAGGGCATGGGGGAGATCATAGCAGAGGAGCGCAGGCGCAGTCTTGAATACGGAT